CCGGCTGGCCCAACCCAGCAACCCAGATTGGGTTAGTTAAAGGTGCAACGTCCTGTGCAAATTCTGGAGGTGGGCTGGGCCTTTCCGTTTTGGTTTCTGTTACTTTTATCCCGCTTTGGCCTTTTCGTGCCTTTTAAAAATGGGTTGTTTTTAGCAGAAGGCCCCCTCCAGACCCAAGCTGGGCAGCTCTATAAACGTGATTAAGTGAATCAATAAAATCACTGCGGACGCTGTTGCCTTGATGCGGAATCCGCCTCCTGATTCTAACCACCCCGTTTCTCCTTCCGCCCCACAGCCAGGCACGGCCATGGCTAATTTCCCCCAATCTCCTGGAGAATTTGAAGAGAAGCCTGGAGGAGTCGGGAAAATGGAAGTGAGTGCAAGATGGACGAGCAGAAACGGGAGGTTGCAGCTCACAGAAGTCACCGAGAGCCGGTCAAGGAGGAAGACCCTCGAAGCAGGAATGATCTGGGCTAGCGTTCAAGACCAGGAGGGCCTCCTTGACCTCATAAAGTTGGAAGAGGCCATGAAGGAAGTCTATGAAGACTTTAAGGCATTGAGGTATTACAAGGAGAAAGGTCTGGCGGGAGAAAAACTCTGCCTTCATTCCGATCAGTTTTATTACTACCCCGATAAAGACATCCTGCAGCTCACCCTAGAAACGTTAAGCGTACAGCGGAAAGAGTTGGTCCGGGGAAGTTCTCGAGACGTCGGCTCTTCCAGGCTCGCTCGCTGTGGCCGACGAGTCTCTCTCCAAGACGGAGAACGGGATTTGGGTAACAAACCAGAGAGGATCCGAAGCCTCCACGGTGCTGGAGATGTGGGGTTGTCGCTGGGGAGGCAGAAAAACAAGATGCCAGTCTCTGGAAGGAGGACAGCTTTGAGGGACCTGTTTTGCCTGTGTGGGAAAAAGAAGGAAAAATAAGGCAGTTTGCTCATGAGAAGGGTATCCAGCAAGTCAACTGTTCTATATTACCAACTAGTTCTGCATTTGTTAGTAAATACGTTGAGTTTTTTAGTGTTTCAGGGAAACGTTCTTTCTGATGATACGGCTGTTTGCAATTAACGGGCAGGATAACATGTCCCATCACTGCAGCCATTGAGAATGACGTGTTTGAGAAATACCTTTTCTTAAGCCCGGACCCAGCTTGCCTTGTTACTGCTGCAGCCTGACCTTAAACCGAGAGACTTCGTTTCCTTGATAATATTGGGGCAATTGAACTTGGAGAAATACGTACCCCGGTTTGCCGAGCGTTGTCCAGAAAGTCATCTTTAGCATTCTGGACAAAGGACCCTCAGCCTTTGCTCGGAGAGCTCCAGCAACGGGGCAGCTGACCCATTTGGTCACCCTGTTCCTCCATTGCCAGCACCTTCCACCGGTCGTTGGTTTACCCCAATTTCGTCCCTTAATCTTTGCCCCAGTTAATTTGGAGGAAGAGGGCCGGGGGGGTGATGGACTTTGCCTGGCTGGCATTTAGTGGTTTGGCCTCGGGGGCGATGCATCTTGACCTGGGCCGGACTGGAGGGGTGGGGGAGTATTAACATTTGGCGTTTGGCCCCAGGTGTCAAAGCATCGTGGCCTTGCAAGGAGAACAAATCGCCTTTTCGCTCTGCCAAATGGTGAGAAAGCTCTTTTCGAAGTCTTTCCCAGGAGAATTACTTTGAACCTCCCGGAATGCCGCCGTGGTTGGGCTGCAGAAGGCGTGTCTCAGCTTGAAACCCCCCCACTCTCCATCGCTTTTCCTCGGGCACAAGCCTAGCCGAGATACCGAGCGGTTGGCCTTAAATTGCTGCGTGAGCGGAGGTTGAGGCAGCGAAGGGACGATGGCCAAGGGATAGTCCACCCCGCATCAGGCTTGGCAGGAGTAAACTTCTGCTTGTTTTCCCCTCCGTAAGTGAAGCCGTTCTGTGGCTTGGAGGTCAATTCCCAAAGAGAAATGAGCTTTCATAACTGCACGTTTGTTGCCAGAAGCTGCAGCGTGGGGCGGGGGGAGAATGGAAGACAGATGCCCCTGGATTGCAGGCCGGGCAGTTGGCCTGGAGAGTGGCTCCCAGGGAAACCGAGGCACCCGTGCCCTGGTGAGCGAGAGCACGCCGCCTCGAGTTAGTGAGTTATGGGTGTAACCTGCAGCCTACGCTAAGCATAGACCAGCGGAGAATGGAGTCTCTGCCTTCTGCAGCCAGGGTTGACTGGTTTCGTGCCCTGATTTCTCTGCCCCCAGCCCCTTGCTCCTCTGCCTGAAGGCGCTGCTCCACAAAAGGCCCCTGGTGTGTTTGGGGGGCGGCTGAGCTCTCATTTCTCATTTGAGCTCGTGGAGAGAAGCTTTGGCTTTCCGATCGTGGGAAAAAGGGTCCTTGGGGAGTCGGGCAGAGGCTGGAATGCTGCAGAGGAGGGAAGTTTTCAGTCGGCTCTTCTTCTGGGGAAACCTCGTGGTTCCTGCAGAACTGAAAAGTCATCCTCGGCTCCCCAGATCGACCTGCCCTCCGAGTCTCCTCCTGTCCCGAGAGTCCGTCCACCGACCCAGCAGGATGACCAGGAGAGCCGGCCAACTGTTTTAAACAGCTCTTCACTTTTCACTGCAGCCCATCTCGCGGCGCTCTCCCGTGATTTGCACAGATAACTTGAAAGACTTCTTGGGCGTCGGGCAAACCTAACCTTGGGAGGCACCAGCATCTGGCGACGCGCTGCCTTTTCCTGGCAGCGGCTTTGCTCTGAATTGCTTTTAAGCTTGAATGCCGAAAGGAAAGACCCGCAGGAACTTCACTGTTTGGGGGCAGCTGCCCAGGGCTTCTCCCGGGAGGGTTAATCTGGAACCAAGAAAAGAGGTTGCTTTTCTTTCTGGGCGGCAAAGTTCACCTGGCATATAGGGGGCTGGACGATTTTCTCCTTTATGTACCCCCCAACCTCACTCAGCTAAAAGTAATCCCAAGGCAGGGATTTCTCCCACGCTCTTTGGGCCTCTCCAGGAGGGAATCGTGATCTTTTCCACCAGAAGCACAGCCACCCACTCCTTCCTCCGTGGGCTTCCGTCTTGCCCATCAGTTATCTGTGACTTTACCCTTTCCGTGCTGCTGGGGGTCCCCCCGTGCCCGTTCTGGCCCAGCCCTGCTTTGCTCAGAAAGGCCCACTCTAAAGGGAAGCGATGCCCGGCGTGTGAACGGTGCTGGGATCCGTGCTCATTTTTCACGTCTTTCCTGCGTGGGGTGGCAGTGCCCGTGTTTTGGAACCCTGCCCCGTCTAGTGAGCAATAAATCCTGGGCGTTGTTGACTTTGGAAAGGTGGAGGGTCACATCCTGTGAAGCCTCCCCAGAGCCCAGTGTGGAAATGTGTGTGGCGAGGGAGGAAGGAGAGAAGACCCGGGGGGGCATAAATCCAGTAAGGGGCCGGTCCCCAAATATAGTGGCCCCGTTGCAACCGTTCCCTGGAGAAAGCGTCTGTCTGCTCCGGCGCCACAAACTCCACGCTGTATTTATCTGGAGCCACGGCTGGTCTCCAAGACTTGAGTCATCAACCGGCTTCCCAGGGTTACGTTGTGGGTCCCCCTCGCCCCTCAGGCGGGGGCAGGAGACAAAAGCTGCCTGTGTGGGTGAAGACCTTCCCCGGGGTGCAGAGAGCCTCTAGCCAACCGTGGAGCCAAGCCAGCAGAATAGCCAGGCTTCCCCTTTTCCCTAACCCTCAATTATGATCTCCCTTCAAGGAAGAGCTGTTGCACCAAAGACGAGAGGGTCTGCCAAGGCCTTTTGAGCATTTCTCTCTCACCCTTTGGCTGTCGAGACCTTCAGGATGGCCTGCATGTTGGTCTAAGATGTGAAGTTCCTGCCCTCTGGGTTACAATCAAAAATGGCACAACACAAGAGGAAAGGGCGGTGGGGAGGGAAGAGGAAGGTGTGGAGGAGAAAAGGCCCAGATTGAGGCTGGAGCATCCAGGGAGGCTGCTAACCCAGACAGCAGTCTCTCAGAGCAAAGCCTGGATCTTTGCCACGGATCCCTTGATGGAAGCCCTGCTGTGCGGCAATCACGGTGAGAAAATAAGCGGAGAACGCTGGCAAGGGGCAGGGGGACCCTGTGGGTGGGTGCTTGCCCCCCTTTCCCCTGTCTGAGAAGGTCTCTCAGATGATCGATGGGGCATGCCAAAGGAATGGGGCTTGGGTGGGTCCCAGACCCTCCTTGTGTTTTTGAAGTGCTCATGCAAGGAGGGGGCTGTTTCCTGGCCCACGGAAAGGGCTCGGGAGATCGCCCAGGATGGAAGAGCTGGATTTCCAGAGGCGAGGTCCTGATCTGCGAGCAAGTGCAAGAGGGGAGGGAGGAGGAGGAGGAGGAAGACCACCCCCTGCTGCTGGCGGCCTCCAGCAACGCATGGGGGGGCATGAGCTCAGCCCATCTCGTGGGCTGCCTCTTTTTTTTAATAATATTTGTTGTTAAAGTTTAAGAATGCAAAGAGAGAAAAACGAACACGAACTACGAAAAACAGAAAAAGTGCTGAGAAAAAAAGGTATATAAAGAAACGACTCCCCCTTTCATCGAGTCAAGGCAAACCATTCCCGTCACTTCATCGCCTCCTCCAGTGTTTCATCCGAAGGTCTCTTCTCCCCACATCTCCTCTCTCAGGGCTCCCTCTTGGCTGAGGTAAGCGTCAGGAGGCGGAGGGACCACCGAGGAGGAGACCCCCCGTGCGGGGAGGAGGCCAAAGACAGAAGACCCCCACTCGCCCACCCCGCTTGCAGGCCAGCCCCGGCTTGGTGCCCGGTGCTTTTCCGCTGCAGGCTGGCTCCGGAGACGGTGCCAAGGAGCTCCGGAGAAGGGCATCTTCTTCGGACACAGAAAAGCTCCGGAGAGGGGCATCTTCTTTGGACACAGGCGGGTCCTAAACATCCTGGCGCTGTTTGGAGATGGGTTTCCGTCTTGTGGGAAGGGAGGGAGCCCCAAGAAGCCAAGGCTGTCCATGGACTTGGGGATGGACGGCTCAGAGGTCTGGGAGAGCATTAAACTCATTGCAAGATTGGGGGGGGGGGACTTCAGACCTGAGTGGCTGGGCCACAGATGTTTGTCTCCCCCCCCCTGGAAAACAAACTTCTTGTCTCTGCTGGCCTTTTGTGGCCAAAGGACTGGAATTTGCAGATTGTTGACATGCGGTCAGAGGAAGAAAGAAAAAGACTCGTGCCAACATTAACGGAGAAGATTTAAGGGGAAAGGAGCATCCAATATATACAGTACAGAGCTACGATAAACAACAGAACAAAATGTAAATACTGGGGTGGACCTTTGCGGGCGTGTGGTTTGAGAAAAACTCTCTTGGAAGTTTTGCTTCCGTTGGGGCTGCGGTTGCCCGAGTCCAGCTGGCCCGTTGCTCATCCTAAAAGCTGGGGCAAGGCCTTTCTGGTCCAGATATTCGGACACGCGCATGTCCCCGTGTGCTCTGGATCCCAGCTGCCGCCTTTGAGTTTCCGGTCCCCTTCCAGTAGTAAACTGGCCTGTAATCTGAGCAGAGGGAGGGTGAACGCCCCCCCCCCTTTCCCTTTGCTTGCTTTGGGCAGACTTGATGCCCAGCAAGAATCCAGTCGTTGGCCATTTTGCTAAAATCCATGACCTGAAAGGGGCTCGCATCTCAAAAGGGAGCTTAGATGCTCAAAAGGCCCCGGCACTGACCCATTTTCGGACCGACGGCTACTTCTTTGCAGTTGCGGCTGCTGAAATAGAGAAAATGGGGGGCCACCGACTGTTCCAGCTGTGCCTCCCAGATGGGCAGACGTCACTTCCCACAATCCCAGCACAGCCTGGCCTTAGATGTTTGGGGGTTGGAGTCCTTTGGCACCGCTGGCGGTGGAGCTGCGAGCCCCCGGATGGAGTTGGCCCATCTCAGCCCCGATATAGACCATGAACCAGTTTTCCAACATGATTTTAGAGTTTTGAAGCTTCTGAAAAGCGCCTGGCAGGAGGGAAGGGTGACCTGGCCTGAGTAATCCAGTTCCTGCAACCTGGCTTGCTGTCACATCACCATGACCAAGTTGGCTTCTCTTGGCTTCGCACGTTGTGTGAATCCAAGGGTGGGGTGTTTGATAAACCGGCATTGAGTGTATTGTGCTGCCCGGCAGGGCTGAGAGCTATTCTGCAAAGGCCGAGGGGAGGAGAGGATCCCCCGCACCTTGCACCCCTCTTAGCTTCCAGCCTCGGCTCTGTTGGTAGAGGGAGGCCGGGCGAACGGAAAGCGAAGAGCGTGCGGTTTGCATTTGTCAGAAATGTTTGCTTTTCACGAAAGGGCTTCCTGTCCCTTCCCAGCCTTGCTTTGATGGCAGGCAGGCATCGAGGGCAGGAGCGGAAAGCAGAGCTTAACTCTGGGTGACCCATCAACGAGGGGGGGCGGGGGGGGCCTGGCACGAAGTTGGAGCCGGCAAGGAAAATCTGAACTGCGCTGTCAGCCAGATCTGCTGCGCAAGTTGGTCGGAGCTCAGATCTGCCAGGGAAACAAAGATGTCAGTTTAAGGGCCCTCTGCCCCCCCTCTGGGCTGGACGGGCAAGCCAAGCTGCCACCAGCCCCCCAAGCTGGCCCTGCTGTTCCCACGGGACTCTCGTTGTCTTCTCACCCCCCGCCCCCCCTTGGCAAGATGCCACTTCCAGCCCCAAAGGAGCCACAACAGCAGGCTTTCCAAGCCAGGGGCTTCGGGGGCATCCGGCAGATGCCTCCGGCTTTCCTGGCGAGCCCGATGTGGGTGCCGAGGCCAGGTAAGGGGGGCAAACAGTGGATCCCACACGCCTTTGAGCGACGCTCTTTGCCCGTCCCCCCTCCTTTCTGCTGCCGCTGGGCACGGGGCTGGCACGAAGGAGGTGCCCCCGTGAGAGCATTCTTCAGAGAGCAGCAGACGCACGCTGCTGGGGCAAAGGGTGCGGGCCTGGCGGTGCCATGAGAAGGGCCGATTGTGCCCCGCTGGAACGCGCTTCCCAAGGCCCGTCTCACGCCCACTGGCACCATCTGTGCCGGAGATAACAAAGGGCTCCTGTGGGACGTGGTGCCGCCGGGCCAAAGGTTGCCTGACTCTCAGTGCCCCCCTCGTCGCGGGTGACGGCAGAGGTCGAAAGCGCGTTTCTCTTCCGCGGAAGGAATGACTTCATCTGGAGCCAGACACTCCGGCTCTTTCTTCCGAGGTCCCTCGCGGCCGGGAGGGGGGGCCTGCCCCCTCCAGACTCGCGGGGGGAGAAGCTGCACCCCGGCAGGAAACTGAGTTCGGAAAGCCGGTGGAGCCGGGGGGGCAGACCCCGGGGGTTGCAAAGGAGCAACTGGCGCGTGGAGGTGTCCGGTCAGCGGCGCGGGCAGAGCCCTCCGAGAGACAGGTGGTCGCGTGGGATCCTGGGGCAAGGCACGGCCACCCTCCTGGCGTTAGCCTGAGTCTCCCAAAGTCGCCTTCCTTCCCCAGCAGTGTGGGACTCCAGTCCTGTCGTCCTCAGAGGGAGCTCGCTGGGCCTCATGGGGCTTGCAGTACACCCTGAGCGCCAGTGAAAGCAAACCACGCCGCCGTTCCCCACAATTCCTAATAAGACGGTCACGCCAGACTTTTTTCCAGAATCCTGGAGCCAGCTTTCCCCGGCCCCCGCTATCAAAGTCCTCCCTTACCCACATTTTCAGTGCTAAAATGTCACTTCCTGGTTTGCGGGTGGAAAAAAAGGGATAGATCTCAGCAGTTCATCACAGAACAAAAACACAAAGGTTTGTTGTGTGTGTTTTTTTAATTTAATGAAATTCGTTCTCAAACGCACAGAAACCCACAGATTAGTACCGCCATGCCGAAGCTGGCTGCCCCGCCCCAATTCCTCTGGCATTAGCAAGAGGGGGGCTGCCAGGGAGGGGAGGACTTTTGGGAACCTCAGGACTGAAATACTTAAGCTTGGCTTGCAAAGAAATCTGGAGGACCCTCCTCCGCCACGGATGTTTCCAAGTTTCTAGTCCTCATGGGCAGAGGCGTGAGACTGCAAAGACCAAGGGAGCAAAGGGGGGCAGAAAATGACAACACAGCCAAAAGCATTAATGCTCGCTTTGTGTGAGATGCGTCCGTGAGAAGGCCAGTTGTGTGTGGCCAAGCTGCTAGCAGGACCTGCCCGAATCTCTCTAGCTGGCTAATGCCAAGTCAACGGCGCTCTCTGTCCTCTTTTCCGCTCTGGAAGAGATCTTTCGCTCGAAGAGATCTTTCTGCAGAAACCCAAGACGTGCCAGATTCCCATACGCTCGATGGCCAAACACTGTCCCCGTGCCAGCGCGCAGCATTTTCTTTTTCCTGGGAGAGAAGGCTGCAGAAGGGGCATCTTTCTTCCAAGCACAGCAACAGACAGATCCTATGTGTCGGGTGCGGGGGGGGAGGCAAACAGAAGCCCCGTAAAGCCCCCAGCCCTTCTGAGCCGTGCAAGCTCCCCCCTTCCACTCTCCAAAGGGGACAGGAAATGCTACGGTGACCCTCCCACCGAGATGGCCACAGCCTGCCGCGGGGGGAGAAAAATTCTGTGTATTTTCAACTTCGGGCAATCGAACGCCTGCCTTTCGGTCAAACGCCCTTGCCCAGGAAGCTGGCGAAAACTTTGCCAGGAGAGCAGAAAAAGATGTGTGCGCACATTCCCAGGACAGGGGAGGGGAGCAGCTGGGATTTCTGGTCAGCTTGGACGGTAAAACGGATCCAGACGTGAGGATTTTCACAGAACGGTCAAAAGCAGAAGCGTGAAGGATGAGGTTGGAGCCTGGGCAAATGGCAAGGGGGGGAAATATCCAGGACATTTGCTCCCGAAGATGGGAATGCAAATGGAGGATTTTCCCTTGGGAAAAATGTTGACCCGGTAGGTTGGAGCAAGCAGCTCTTTCTTGCCTCTCCCACAAACGCCAAAGCTTCAAGGGGTCTGACGTCGGTCCCTGAATCAATCCGCCCTCGGCCTGTCCCAGGACCGCCCTGTCAGAATCCCTCTGGTTTAATACTGGCCACTAATTCCGTCACCCCTTCGCATGGACCCTTTATGCATTTGCAAATAACATGGATATTCTCCAAATAAAATAAACCAAACTCTACACTAGCTTAGCTCAACGTCTGAACCTTCCCGTTGGGGCGTATTCAGCAAACAGCGGTTAAAGTCCAGGAGACTAACGCAGTGTATAAATGCTGCCTGTTCCTTAGGCTGCAGGAAATGCATTGCCCGTCTCCCCCAGATCATGCCAGCTGATGGCTTTGGGCACCCTGAAGTTCCCACAGGGAAGCTGCTTGGCTAAGCGAGAGCGTGCCCGTCCGCAAGACGTTGGCGCTCTGTTCGACCCGCTTGGTCGCGCGCGCTTAATTTGGGTCTCTCCCACGGCTGTGGTCATCCTGGAGCCACGGACAAAGCCCTCCTGGGCCCGCCCCAGCTTTCAGGGTCCTGATCCTCAGGCAACAAAGTGCAGTTTGTAGGTGACCTGGTGACCGTTGTCCCAGCCATAAAGGATCTTCTCCTTCGGGTTATAGTCGATCTGTGTCGTGAAGGCAAACTCATTGAGGAAGACCATCTTGGGGCTGGCTTCGGTGGCGGTGTGGGTGTCGTAGGCGTACGTCACCTGCCCTTCCTTGGCGTTGCACTCATCCACGGCATACAGGATGCCACAGATAATGAAGCAGTTCCCGTAAGAATTGTGCCTCAGGCTCGTCTTCCAGGTGGTGTCCTTCTGTGCGGACAGGTCTGCTGGGTCCAGCTTGCTCACCACGATGACCTCCTGCTGGGAATAGCTGTAGTCCGCCGCTGGGTAGATCACCCACAGTCCACTCTCGTCCACGGCAAAGTCGATGTTGGAGTGGCCCCGCCACTTCCACGGCGTGGTGTCCTCGTAGACCACGTCATCCAGCAAGGACCAGGCAGCCACAAAGCGCTGACGCAGGTCGTATTTGATGATGTTCCGGGTGAAGGCCCGGTTGTAGTAAAAGGCTCCCTGGAAAACCACGTGGCCGGTCCCGATCCAGCTGTAGGGGAGTTTGTACACGTTGCTCCAGCGCCCTGGGAGAAACGGAAGAGCTCGTGGTGAGAAAGGCAACCTTGGGAGCCTCCCACCCCACCGCCGCCAACTTTGCGAGCGGGAGAGAGGGCCTTGTAGACGCTCTCCTGGGAACTGGGTGCTGCTCAGGGTGTCCGTAACCACGAGGACGACAACTCCCAACAGTCCAAGCTGAGCAAGGGGGTTTTGTAAGGGGAAACATTTCTCCCCGTTGAAGATTGGGTGGGATCTACAGGTCACGTGTGAGATGATAACTGTAAAGCCTTTCTAGAGCTATGCCAGTGTATGACTGTAAATGATCTGATTGATTGATTGATTGATTGATTGATTGATTGATTTCTAGAGAAGTCTTCGGGAAGAGGCTAGCGAACCCCAAGTGGTGCTTCAGCTGGGGGGCTGAGGAGATGCACCTGGGAACTGCTCTGGCTGGGAGAAGCTGCGGAAGGCTGTGAATTGATTGAATTCACAGTGCAGAGAGATTTGCAGAAAGCCGTGAGTAGCTTCCAAAGACTGGCCCCCTTGCTGCATTACTCCTTTGTTCATTAGACACCCCCTTGGTGCCGAACCATTTTTGGAAGGGTGGCTTCTCCCCAAAGCAGTCGAGCTGCAGGCGGTTTAGAGAATCTGATTCTCAACCAAAATAATTGTTTGTGCAAGTCGAGCGATCAGCGTGACTTAAATCCCAGTGGGAGCCGAGAGCAGACTATTTACAAAGTTGGTTTTTTAAAAAAATTAATTTAAACTAAAGGGGCATTTTAAAGGGCCAGGCCAGCCCATGCTCGGGTTTCAGCCGAGGAAGAGGCTCTCAGCACCCTCTACAACTGCAGTCTCTTCCCTAAATTTGCTGCAGGGTTGTTTTAACCACGCGTGGAAAACTCTTCGGGCAAGTGAGCTGGCGAAGAACCAGCTGAGTTAAAGGCACAGAGCAAGACCGAAGAGTTCTGGTCCTGAGGTTCTGAAAACTGGGCTTGCTTTAAAACTGCGACAATCACCCAGGAAGGAGAAGAAGGATCCGAAAAGCCGAAGAACAGGAGGGCTTGGCGGCTACGAATGTGGACGTTATAGAAGGCAAGCCCCTTCCTCACCTTGCTTGAAGTTCTCCAAGTTGCGGAACTCCACCAGACTGTTCCCGTAGTAATAGTTGGCCACGTAGATGCGGTCGTCCTTGGCCGCCGGGTCCTTCATCCACGCCCCCTCGTTCCGGCCGTAGCTGTGCTGCTTCTCGGGGGGGTCCACCGCCTTCAACGTGCCTTCGCACTCGGCCTCGTGTGCTGCGGGTCCTGGGGAAAGGATGGGAGGAGTTGGGGCCGCCTTGGGGGATCGGGCCCCCCCGTTGCAGCCCCCCTTCCATGGGGAGGACCAGCTGGTCTACCCAAACAGAAACTACCGGGTCTACCCAGGGTCGCTGCAGCTCCTCCGAAGGAGCATCCCCGGTTGAAACGGGATTCGTACGTACCGTGGCCGGGAGGGGCAGGGGCCTCAGTGATCTGGCCATGTCTCTGGGGGAGCAGAGTAACGCCAGGCAGACTTCGAAGGGTGGTGGTACTGCTGGTGGTGCTGGTGGTGGGGGGCAAGGAGGTGGTGTTGGCACGGGAAGCTACCAGAGGAATTTCTCCTGCCCTTGGGAGGGTCTCCTGGTCTACGTGGATCTCCAGTTTGGGCTGCACGAATCCAGCTCCCTTTCCAGGGCTTTCTGCAGGAAAGGATCATCCTTAGTAAGCCCCAGGCTGGTGATCTTCCCAGCCCCGCTGTGCCATAGGAACCAACCGGTTGTGCAAAACTCCAGGGACACGGGGGCAGCTCCCTGACCCTTGCCTTCCTACTCACCACGGCTGCTCACCGCCCCCTCTGCTTCCGCTCGATGGCCTGCTTTGTAGTACACGAGGCCCCGGATCACATTTTGCTGCCCGGAGGAACCGGGTTTCGAAGTAGCCTGTGCCAGGCCCATCCGGCCCTTGGCACTCTCCTTCCTCAGCTTTTCTGACTTGGGGGGCTTCTCCTTGGGAATTCTTGGGGACACTTTGTCCCCCAGGCTCTTCCGAGGGCTGGAATACTTCTGGACCCTCTCCTTGTCTAATGTTCCAGCTGTGTCCTAAGGTGGGGAGAGAAAAAAACAGTCAGAGGACGCTGTGAAATGCTCAGCGCTGGGGAAGAGCATCGTCGAAGTGTAACGCACATCCAAGTTTGGCATCTCATCTTAGGATCTGTGTCTGCAAACCAGGCTATTGTAAAGCATTTTCACTCGGGCTTGCAGGCTAAAAGACATAGCACAGAAGGATAAAGGGGAGGGGAGGGAAGAGGAAAAAAGTCTCTAGTGCAAACTCAAGGCAGACATAGGGGGAGCGAGAAACTTCAGAATGACCAGGAAGGAAGAAGTTGGGAGGGCAGCAGCAGAGAACACAAATGGCTACAGATGAATGGATCCCAGACGTTAAATGGGATGCGGCCGGTGGAGTCCAGCGAGGATGACAGGGGACCAACCTGCGCCTTGTGTGCGGGACCTGCGGCCGCGGCGGCATCTTTCTGCAGCAGCTGATACCCCAGGTTAGAGAGCTCTTTCTTGATGCCCACCATGATGTCCGAATAGTTCTCGTAGCGTTTCACCTGGTCGCTCAAATGCATGACGCTCTCCTTCACCACGCTGCTGTCACGGCTCAGGTTGGTTTTGACTGTCTGGGGGTGGAAGGAACCGGGGGGGGCAGTGATGTTAACACCCTGCATTGACAAAGGCGGTCACGTGCGTTCCTGCATTTATTTCAAGCCATGTTAGCCCACCTTCCTTTCTGTCTTTCCCCCTTCCCCTGTTGTTCTCACATCATTGTATTAAACGTTTTTAAAAGAGCGATAAAAATAGTACATGCTAAAAGAAAGGAAAAAAGTGCAGGAAAGCAAAAAAAACCCCAAACTTCTTTCCCCCCAAGAAAACGACTTCCCACCCTCATCATGACAAGTATAACCAAGTCCATAATCTCTTTACCTCCTCTTGGTTAGCAAACGTAAAACTCCTCATCCCATAACCCATCTCTTAACACAAGGCAAATCGAATAAGTAAGGTCACCCCCAATCCATTTATCAGCAAGACTCCCCTTCCCCTTCCCTGAGAGGCCTCCGGACTTCTGGCCTGAAGCCCAGAGAGTCCTAGAGGCCATCCGGGGCAGGAACCCAGATCCAGCGTGGCGGTCCAGCTTCTGCATCCGTCATAGGTGACCTCGGCACGCTTCCAGGTCTGAGGTTCCGCAGGCGGCCAGCTCTTATTTTTTTCCCTACAGTTTGATCAGAATCTGCCTTAGCGTGACGGAAAATGGATCTTGACTTTCCTCGGGGTGACATCTTCTCTGGGGCTGGAGATCTTTCCTCACTGCCCCAGCCCTCCCCACCTGCTCTCCTGCAGGCAAAATCAACCCAGTTGCAGCTAAAGGAGGAGAAACAAAAATGGGAGCGTGCGGAGAAGTCTGAGGTCACCTCTTCCAGCGAGTTCATCTGCGCCACCACCTTGTTGATGTAGGAATGGACTTTCATCAAGTCCATGCTGTACAGAGCCCCCTCCAGCAGGTCAATGACGGACTGCAGCTGCAGAAGGCGTGGGGAGAAGAACATCCAGAGTTTGAGTGGAACATAGAAAGCCCCAGATGTGCACTTCCCTCTTTGCAGCTGTGGTTTTTCCCTCCCAGTGTCCCCGGAAGTCTGCTCAGAGCAGCCCCTAGACATCTAGAGAAGAGGTCCCAGGGGGCTGGGGGGAGACCCTCTGACCCCACCCCCTGAAATGATACCCCTCATGGGCTGCTCAGAGCAGGCCGTCAGTCTCTTCCTTTCTTCCAGCTGCGTTCTTGGGGAGGCAAAGCCAGAAGTGGGCAGAGCCTGTGTGCAACCAGGTGCTCCTTTCAGCACGCTGGGCTCCTTGCACCGAAGCACCTTGTGGGTGCCTCTCCAGGGCCAGCCGTTGCAACCTGGGCAGCCCCCACCCCCTGCTGAAGCCGCAGCCCCGCACCTTGTGCAGCTCAGGGGCCTGTTTCTTCAGCTTCTCCATCTTCCACTCGTCCTCACAGGGGTTGAGCGAGGCTGGAGGGGCCGCGCAGGAGCAGCGACAGTCGGCCCCAGAGCTGACCGTCTCCACGGTGTAAAAGTCCTCCACCCTCCTGCTCCCTTCCTGGAGACGGACGCAGGCGGCTTTGCTGAGCGGGCGCAAGATGCATTTGCAGCGGCAGTCGGACCCTTCGGAGGTCATGCGCACCTGCTCTGGGTCCCCAAAGGGCTACAGGGGGTGGAAAGCAGGCAGGGGTGGGGTGAGGCTTGAATCCAGCCCCCACAACTAGCGCCCGAGCTCCTGGGGACCTCTGCTTGCATCTACGGTCGTTCCCCCTAACCCTGCCCAAAACGCCCCAGACCGCAGCATTGTTAGCAAAGCATGGACGAGAGCACAACCCACCCCTTGTGGTTTATCCAACAAACCACGGCTATAAGCAGATTGCGGTTGGGGGAAATATGTGACTCCAGCCACCATCTGACTCACTGGGTTGCTCATTGGAGGGGGGGTCCTCATGCCAGCTTCTCCACCATCCCTCGATGGAGGGAGGGAAGAAGGTGAGATACCTAAAATTTCTGGGGAAGAAAAGCTGAGTTGGGGGCTGCCCTGCATTCAGCCCGGGATGAGCCAGCCGAGCTCAGGCTCCGGCCAGAATCGAGCGGTGGGTACTTCTAGAGAGCCAGCCCACAGAGGCGGTTGGGATCCTAAACCCTTCAGAAGATGGAGACATGTTTCTGGACTGTCTCCCCAGCTGTTCTACGCGGCCCACTGTAGCACAAACCAACCTGGTGGAAACTTGGCCCTTAGCGGTAAAAGGAAAATCCAGAGGAACCAGCGGTTTGCACCGCTGCTAGAACCCTAGAACCCGTGGCCCTCTTTGAGAGACCCCACAGTTGATGCCTGCTGGAGCCATGCGCCTGGGCCCGCACCACTCTCCGAAAGACAGAAAGGAGGAAAGAAAATCATATTTTTCTCTTCTCCTTCGGAGCATCCAGGTTTGGCCCTCTGCTTTTCTCCGGCCTGATGCTCCAGCTACCAGACCCTCGCTGAGAGACGATGGGAGTTGTAGTCCAGCACAGCCAGAGGTCGGAAAAGGTTGCATCCGGCTTGGAAGCTCCGCGCAGCTGTCCGGGCACCGCATCAAAGGGCGGCGTGCTCACAGATGTCGGCGCCAAGAGAAGGGAAGCGGCGGAGGGGCGGGGGGGCTCCCCCCTCCTAGCAAGGCTGACTTCCTTTTCCAGAGACGCCCCCCTCCGCGCGCGCAGAAGTCTGACCGCGGGGAGCGAGGCGGCTCTCTCGCGCTCCCCGGCCGCGCTCACACAACGCTCTTGCCCCGCAGCTTCCTCTGCCGGCGCACCAAGAAAAGAGGCTCACGCCATGCTGCCCGTGCCCCGCTCTGCCCGAGGACGAGGCTGTGGCGTCGCGTTTTCCCACCCTTCTCGGCTGCCTTTGCAGGCGCGCCCTGAAATGAAGATAATCTCCGTGGCGCGTCGGGAAAGGCTCTGGAACGCCTCCAGCTGTGCCCGCGGCAGCGGGGGCTGGAGGTCGGGGCTGATGGGCCAGGGGAAGAGAATGGGGAGCCTTATTCGGGGAGGAGGGCTTCCCAGCCCCCTCCCAAAGAGCCTTGCCTTTCCTTTCCTTTCCTTTCCTTTCCTTTCCTTTCCTTTCCTTTCCTTTCCTTTCCTGTCCTTTCCTTTCCTTTCCTTTCCTTTCCTGTCCTTTCCTTTCCTTTCCTTTCCTTTCCTGTCCTTTCCTTTCCTTTCCTTTCCTTTCCTGTCCTTTCCTTTCCTTTCCTTTCCTTTCCTGTCCTTTCCTTTCCTTTCCTTTCCTTTCCTGTCCTTTCCTTTCCTTTCCTTTCCTTTCCTGTCCTTTCCTTTCCTTTCCTTTCCTTTCCTGTCCTTTCCTTTCCTTTCCTTTCCTTTCCTGTCCTTTCCTTTCCTTTCCTTTCCTTTCCTGTCCTTTCCTTTCCTTTCCTTTCCTTTCCTTTCCTTTCCTTTCCTTTCCTTTCCCCTCTTCGTGCAAGGAGATTCGTGCAGATACCAGCCCTCTTTCATCCCCTCACCAACCCTGAAAGCCAGGGGAAGGTGGGGAGAATCTCGCTGGCCAATTCCACCCCATCTTTCCAGCCTCCTGATAGGTTATTTCCCATAAAGCCCTTTACTCAGATCCCCTGACCTCTTGAATTACATCCCCCACCCCACCGCACCAATTCTCATCCCATCCATTTGCAGGGCAGGCAGCTTCAGAGCGTTTCCTTCTCTTGCAGCCTGAGTGGCAACATCATACAAGGGAAAGGGAAGGGGAGGGATGAGAAAAAACAGCATAGCTCAGGTGCAGTTTTAACAGCAGGGCCTTGCTCATCTTACTGCCAATAATGCTCTAGGTTGCCTTAGAAGAGGAAGACGCATTTTTGCTCCAACAGTTTATTTTAGTAAGCCTCACAGAAGGGTGGAATTCAGTCCTTCCACTCCTTCCCCTTTCCCCACTATAACCAGGTTGATGCTGGCTGGGAAGCCCGTGGGAAGTCCAAGAGCATCTCATTAAGGGGCCCAAAAAAGCAAAGGGAGCTGTTTTGCTCCGGAGACCTATGGGGTGCAGGCAGGAGGCCGATGACAGCCGAGCACCACACACGGTACGGCCGTTCCTTCCAAAAACCAAACCCCTGGAATGTTTTGTAAACGGCTTCCTTAAACAGGAACCATATGGGTTCTGCCAGGAATCTGGAGACAGGGAACTCTCAGCAGAGCAGAGCTTTATTTCAGAGCAGGCTTTGGCACCCGAGGCCCTGGCATAGCTTTCTGAGTGGACCCAGCTGCTCGCGCTGCTCTGCGGAGGCCGATTAACCCTGGTTGAGGAAGCTCCACTCTTCCCCCTCCGGGGCGTGTGCACAGCTGGGATCGCCACTTCATCAGACGCCGCTCTGCCTGGGTTTGGAATCCGCAGCACCGGAAGCAAAACCCTCTTGGAATTAAAACAGCAAGCAGGTGCCCGGAGAAGGGCGTCAACGTGAAGCCACAAGCTTGGTTCAGAAAATGGCCACGAGCTGGGTTGGGTGCATTCCCCGCTGCTGCTGCCAACTGGCCGGACAAGCGTGAGAAATGCAAAATGAATGTACAGAACGATTTATTTTTGGAGGCGGCTGACTTTTGCAATTCCTTTTAAAGATTGCCTCACGGTTGCCCCACGGCCCACTTGCAGACTGGTGGACGTTGCATTCACATGAGGAGGAAAAGAGCCGTGAGCATTCGCGGGAGAACAACAAGAAGTGGAAGGCTGCCTGTTCAGGAGGTCTGCCCCCCCCCCCCCCCCCCCCC